ATATATTTTTCTCCTTAATCTAAGAGTTACTCATATTTTAAATTAATTGCCCAATGCTTCATGATTTTTAGAGAAGCAGTAGTGTACTTTAATCAGTCTCTTCTCCCTTCTCACCAAGTTTTCATTTTTAGATAACAAAGGAATCGCAGTCCTGCTACATACAGAGACTATTTAAGATCCAGCATCCCTGTCCTTTTCTCATGTCTAAGCATCTGTTGGAAAATAAACCAGTCACTCTGTACTGCATACCAGGCATCACGTAAGAGCATATTTACTCAAATAGATAAGTTGTAGGGTTTTATCAGTAATCCCTGGGACATTACCCCAAGCAGACCTGTGAGACTTGTCCAGGATAACTTGCCTACGTAAATGGTAAGCTGTGCATATTTGGCAGAGTGAAGGGTCTGATCATCCCTGCTAAAATGGAATGCTGGAACCACTTTGCATCTGGAGATAGAGTATGTGCTACAAAAAAGAACTGTTGAGCTGTATCTGCTGTCTTGAATTTCTTCCTGAGGACACACATACCTGTGTGGGTTTCCTAAGCTGTAGTTTTGTCTTTAGTTCCACAATGACACTCGATAGCCTTCAATTTCCTCACCGGGTTGTCCTCATCTCTAGCACTGCTGGCTGCTTTCTAGATGTAAGACTTGTCTGCTTGTAAGGGAGATCTTACATGCTAGTCTTGCTTAGTCATTTTTTTTTTAAATACGTTTGCCTTGGCCATGCACTTTTGCTGTTGTAATGTACAATACAAAATTTCCTTTTTTCAGTTGGACAGGCTGCCTGCTGGGAGGACAGTGATGCAGCTTGTGCCTCCTGCATTTGGATTTGGTGACGACACCTTTTGAGTTTCTTGAGCACTTGCAGAGCCCTCTATCTATGACAGCTCTTCCATCACATGTGAAGAGTTGCTTGACATGGGCATCTGGGGTTGGATATGTGCTGTTGACAAAGATTAATTGTTCAGACAGCTGCTGCTGTCCAGACATGCATCACACAGGTACATAGGCCATATGTTCCTTCGGCGTTAATGCTGACCTGTCTCAGTGCTTAAAGGATGTTTTTGTATCTGGTATTAGCCAAGGTAGCTAGAAGAGAGCAGGAGAAAATGTCCTGACCCTTGGTATCACCATCTTCTCTGTCTCAGTAGTTACACTTACTAGCAGGATAAAAGCTGAGAGCAGATTTCTGGAACATTGTCTGTTTTACTCTTTTTGTTTCCAGGACACTTGTTATTTGGATTGACCTTCATAAAACTTTGGATATCTAGATTTTGATTGATAGGTGAATAATTCATTGTATCAATCAGAATGGGGCAAGAAATGATGTCGGCTAGACTTAAAAAGCAGGGCTCTTGAGCAGAGGACAAGTTTTCCTTTCTAAAACCTCTATTTCTGTTTGATTTTTAAACTTTTAAACATCATTTTCTTGGGTGTTGCAAGGCTTTTTTGGGCGCTTTCAGGACTTGAGAACCATGATCTTAATGGGCAATGCAAGGGTAGCAAAGCAGCATGCGCTATGGCTGACAGCAGGGCTCTTTCTGAAGGGACATCCTGATTACTGCAGGTGCCTACACAGAAGGTGTGCCTTCAATGTCTGGTTTGAGGAAGGGGAAGCAGCAGAGGACCCCATGTTCTTCATGAGTGACAGGGGCACTGCCATTATTGCCAGGGTTCAAAGGCGTGTTTCATCCTCATGGGTCTCCTGAACAGATTGCATGCAGCTCATCCCAAATTGCTTCTTGCATTTGTTTGTGTTTTCAAACCCATTGAGCTCATTTTGATTTGTGACCTAGCCTTGCAGCATCCATCTCCAGAGGCTGGATGGTAGTGTGGAGAGCAGTACAGCTTTTCTGTGGATTTTCCTCAGTCACTGCTAATTTCTAGCATCTCTCGGGTGAATCAGCCGCCTTCTCCTGCCTGATTCATTCAGTGCCATCGTGATATGTTTGACATCACTATCATTTCCATGTTTAGTGAGTTATATTTTTTTTTTTTAAATGCTTTGTGACACTTTTAAATGAACTAGGTAGAGCAAGTAGATTTTGGAAAACCAGGAACATCTGGTGCTTGCATGTTTTCTTCAGCAACTTTGTGAAATTAATACAGTTCTAAAGTAGAGAAGAAAAATTACACATTGAACTTATAAGTTAATTAGCTCTAACTCAGGTGCTTGAAAACAAGGTTAGGATTGTCATGTCAGTCTGACTGTGGATGGTTTCTCACACCTGGCATGTTTCCAGGTCATTCTGCTGGAGCATAGTGCAACAAGAACAGGAGCAGGCTTTTGAGATTGCTTTCTTCCCACACCTGAAGAGGCTTTTTTGGTCATTTAATTGGCCAGTTAGTTGGCACAGCATAAAATTTGTTACCTAGCAAGTACATGTAGCATTTGTTCTGCTTAGAAAAACAAGGATCTGGAATAAATTAGTCTTAGGGTTTGAAGAAAATTTGTAGGGGGGTGTTCAGGAGGAGCATTAAATAGTATCCTCTCCTTCTGTTCCCTGGCTAATCTAGCTCTTCCACAGCTACAGCAGAAATCTTAAGGTACTATAACAATTACTGGCAAGGTACACAGTAAAGCTTTAAGGAAAAGAAAATAAATACAAAATTTATTTTTAATTTTGTATTTGCATATTGTTTCTACTTCAGATTGTGAAAGATTAATCCTTTTTTGAAGCTTTTTTCTCAGGTTCTGGCAAGTAGCTTAGGAAATGCAGCCTCCAGTGAACTAAATGTCATCCTGTCTAAAATATTTAACAGCACAACTTGCTCTCAGAAAGCAACACCTTTATAACATGAGCTGTTAAAGAAAGGTGAAGCTAGCTAGTGTGAATACTTGCCAAGTGTTTTTGCTTGTAATAACTAACCATAATAAATGTGGAAGCAGGTATGAGTTGGATGTGAGAGTAACAGAATAAACACTTGTGTTTAAACATCAAGTTCCTGAAAACTTATTAAACTTGCTTTGTTTGCTGTTGAGTTAATTTAGATAAACATATGGAAACTAATTGTTTCATTAAGGGTATGTTTTAAAAATCCAGAGGTGTTTTACAGGTCATTAATGCTGCACTGGCTCTGGCTGCTAAACCCCAAAGCAAGCTGGCTCAAGAAAACATGGATCTCTTTAAAGAGCAGTGGGAGAAGCAAGTCCGCGTGCTGACGGATGCTGTCGATGACATCACTTCCATTGATGACTTCCTGGCTGTATCAGGTAATCAGGGGTTTGGTCTCAGAAATAATCATTCTCTTAACTGAGCTTATTCCTGGAAACGGGTGGTTTCTACATGTGTTCTGGAGTCTTCTTGGGTTTTTGGAAGGGATGGTTTTGCTACGCTTCACCTGGCAAGCAACATTTTCTGCTGAACGAGGTGTGAAAATAGAGCAGGAGTTCTTGGCACAGGAAGAGGTATTTTTATAGCATGAAAACAGTGATAGTTTCGTTCACAAGGTACTGTAGAAACCTGTCATTGCACTTATGGCATGTGCATGCATAAATGTATATATTTACATGTCAGTAGACAAATCAGCTTAAATATAGCGAAAGACACTTTATGTCTCAAGATTTTGAATTGCAAGCTGAGCTACCAATGAATCACCATCTAGCTACTGTAGACAAACCTCACCAGTAACATTGGGGAAAATAGAACACGTTTATGTTCAAGTTACGAACTAGCAAAAAAGACAGTCCCTCAGTTTACCTTAGACTCTTCTTATATAAACAAAAATTAATACAAAACCCTGGTCATACAAGTTAATTAAAATAAATTTTACAAATTACCACTACAAACTGAGAGTCTAGCTTTCGTAGTGCAAACAGGCTTGGGCATGTCAAGTGACCTAAAAACTCTGGGTGTAAAGAGAGATTTCACAGCAAGATGTATGGCATCAGAAGTACCAGGTGAACATACCTAGGAAATGTAGACATAAACTTGCAGGCCTGAATTAAAAGACCATATTTTTTTAATATTAAAAAAAATAACCAACCAAAAAAAACCCCCAAGTAATATTTCTACAGTGAATCACCTGTATTACCATACATGTTGTATTGTGGTTCCCTGGGTTTGGAATAAAAATGTTCTTTGCAATGAGTTAGCATAAACTTATTAGGCAATTGAATGTCCTTGTTCTTTGTATCTGTCTGTGTGCTTGTCGTTGCAGCAGTAGATGAAATTGCACAGCTGCGAGGAGCCTATTTCTGGGGAAATATATTTAGAGAGAATTGTGTGCTGAAGTTCACAGCTCCGCTTGGAGTTTGCCCACAAGTGTACAAAACATTTTAAAGAGAAAGAGCTGTTAGTCTGTGAAAACACAGTCTGTATAAAGCTGCCTTAGTGTATTTCACTTACAGGTGTGGCTCTAAATGGGTCGAGCTGCTGGAACTGAGTGGTCTCCATCCTTGTGTAGGTCATTCGAGGCGATGGGTATTCTGCTTTTGAGGGGACAGGTTATGGTGTCAGCCCACTGCTGAGTTGCTCTGAAGAGTTTCAAGGGCTTGGCAATAAGCAGGGAATGCTTCTTTTCTGAGGCAGTGACAGGCTGACTCAGGAGAGAGTTCACCTCTAGTGTGTGCTTGCCACCCAAAATGATGCCATGGAAATGCTGTAGTTTGAGACTACTTCAGATGCTTGAGTGCATTCAGCAATTATTTGTATGTGCTGCATTATCAGAGAGGTGTTAGAAAAAATATTAAAACAATAAATATTGCTTTCAAAATGATTTGTTTGAACTTTGATAAATGTTTTCCATATAAATGCCACAACTCCAATTCATCTGCTAAAAGTCTAAACATCTCTTTGGATAAAATCGTGACGAGTATGATTTATACCAGGTTCCATTTGGGTTTATTAGGATGTTTGTGCATAGTAGGGTTTTATCAGTTACTAACTGGGATGTAAGCAGAATTAAAGTGTCCTTGTGGGTCTCTGTGTGTGTATATAATAGCATGTTCGCATGTTCTTACAATGTGTTGTCCTGTCCATTATGAAGCGTATGCTTCATTGGTCAGCTGATGCTACAGAATTGTATTAGTTATGCGCAACTAAAGGCTTGATGAAAGAGATGTTTGGTTTAGATAATAGCAAAATATTGTACAAGAATAAGGATACTTAAATGCACAGTGTTGCAGATAAGCTTGCAGGTTACATTTTATGAAAGGCATAGCATGAGAAAGGCCCTGTTGAGTTAGGACAATGGTCTGGTGGTGGCTAATTGTCAGTGCATGGGAGATTAATAGCAGAGGATGCCTGTAGACTGAACATCTTTCCTATACGCTCCCAACCATGAGTGATTTGCAGCTCAGGGAGCTCCAGCATCAGAGGTGCTATCTACTGAACAGGCCTTGACAGATTTTTTCTCATTTAAGCTTGTGTTAGTTGCTCTTCCAGCCATTATAAACCGCTGGCATCTCCATCATCCTGTGCAAAATTCACAGCTTAACTGTGCTGTGTGAACCTCCTCGTTTTTGCAGTGTTGCCTATTTGCCTTCAACACTTCATTCAGTGTTGCCTTCATTTTGTGCCCCTAGTGGTACTAGAAGATGGTGAGGAATTTTTTTTCCCTATTCGCTTTCTTCATGCTGTTTGTAAATGTACAGACTTCGGTCATACACTTAGTTAGTCATGTCTTTGACTGCTGAGTCTTTACCTGTTTCATTATTCCTCATTTCAAAGCTTTTTTGTACCTTCTGTAATCTTACCCTCTTGTCAGTGCCTTCCATAAGCACTCTGGGTGTGTTTGTGTGCCCACTATCTCTGTTCTTTAGAGCAAAGATTGTGTAATTGTCAAATTCAATGTTCTGAAAGTACCTGGACCTCCCTTGAAACCCTCTAAAAAAAAAAAAAAAAAAAAAAATTCCATTTGCTGCCTTCCGTTCTGCTGCTGCTGACGGAGGTTTTACACAAGAGACTGCCCGTCACAGCAGAGTTACTTTGTCTTAAGAGCCTGCAGATGAATATTGCTTGGGCCCGATGATTGTCCTTCTTCATTACAAGATGAATACTGTATTTGCAAGTGTATGAACACTCAAGTATTTGTTCCATAACCATGTCTACTGACACTGCTGCTTGACCTGGTTCCTCCAGTGTCCCTTGTCAAAAGAAGGCCCAGCATGGAAATTGTTCTAAGAACTTCCATAGGTAACACAGCAGAGAAGCAGAGTTATATTTATGCATCTGTAGCTTTAGCTCCTGACGGTTGCTCTTGGGTTGTGATCTCCTGTAGCCCCCAGACTGCCTCTCAGACTTCTTGGGATGTTTGGAAAAGGATTTCTTAATCCCTTTAATGGGGAGGTGGGTGGAGGTGGAAGGTGTTTGGTGGGGGTGGATTGAGGATTGACAGCTGTGGGGGACTTTTAATTCTGTTAGTTTGTCACAGTTTCATGTATTTCCTTGTTTGCTCTAAAAATCATTTTTATTGGAAAAATGTCTTCCCTCTTACCTTGTTGCCAAACCACACCATAATTTTTCCTGTAGTTATTTCAGTAGGACAAGATCCCTTTGCCATTGCCTGTGTTATACTCTATGTTATATTCTATTGCTGTGAGATTTTTCTCCCAACTCAGCAGCAGGAAGGCTGTTAGCTTTGATGCAGGACAGCATTATCACGTCCCCGAAGGTACTGGCGGTGAACCCGTACGTCAGTGTTTCTTGGGGTCTGCCACCCCAGCCTCAGCAGACGGCATTTTGTGCCAGACACTTGTGGTCCATATGCCTGTAGGACAGGTAGCAGTGGGTGTATATACAGGCACACAGAACAGTGTCAACAGTGATTTGTTACCATCCAGCTGGAGAGTTAACCAGAGTGGATGCACCTGACAGTCCCATACTTCCCCAGGGCCCCTTGCAGACTGCCCCATGAGGGATTATCTTTCCATAGAAACATCTTTCTGGCAACTTTCCATCTACAAAAGACATTAAATGATCAGCAGACACTTAAATATTCGTCCTCATTTTGTCCATGCCTTTAATTAAAGTTCATATGGTCTGTGGCTTAATTAATTTGTTAAGGAATTCAAGCAATAAACAGTCTGTGTTTTGGCCTGGCGCTGATGCTTTTTCTTTTTACTGTTGCAACTTGCAGAGATGTCTGTCTCTTGCTTTAAATACCAAAACTCTGTGTGGTCCTTGCTGCAGCTCTGTACCTTGGCTGCCTGCTCACTGACTTGTCAAATCACTAATGAACCTGCACTTCTCTCTCTTAGGGCCACATTCTGCCCTCAGCTGAACTTGTTCAGGCTGAGTTGCTTCAGAGGTATTTCACAAGTGTAATTTTTGTCCAGGTTGCTTACAGAAGTCTTGCAATATTGCACCTGGTTCTGTTAATTTTATGTAAATTAAGCGCAACTCTTCCAGCAGCAATCCTTTCAGCCAGTTTATACAAATCCTCTATCAGTCAACTCTGTGTGCTTCTCGTCTCTACAAACTCTTGCAAAATGGCTCTTTTA